AAATAAACGTTGAAAAAAAAAAAAATTAAAAAAAAAAAATTTTATTTAGTTTATTTTTTGAGAGAGAGACAGAGCAAGTGAGCAGGAGAGGGACAGAGAGAATCCTAAGAAGGCTCTGAGCTGTCAGCACAGAGCCTGACATGGGACTTGAACTCATGAACCATGAGATCCTGACCTGAGCTGAAGTCCAGAGTCAGACACTTAACCGACTGAGCCACCAGGCACCCGTACATCAGTAACTTTGAACATAACCTTAGCCAGCCTGTCCTAATACATTTCTCCTGGAACTGTGATTGTTGTTAACTTTTCCTACTCCACGGTGATAATCCAATATTAGCACACCAAACAGATGCTCTTGACTTCGAGACATTAATTAGGTATAAGTGCTGCTAATGTTCAGACAAGTTCACATAAATTGACAATCAGGTAAATAAGAATGTAGTGTTTTATTTAATTAATTAATTTATTTTTAAAGATTTGATTTTTAAGCAATCTCTACACCCAAGTGTGGGGCTGGAACCCACAACCTGAAATCAAGAGTTGAACACTCCACCAACTGAGCCATCCAGGCACCCTGAGAATGTAGTGTTTTAATGACATCAAGATACTGTAATTTATAAAGTCCTTTGCTCTTTTACATCAAATGCTCATGTTCAGGGTGCATCTTAGAAAAAAATCCATGAAGTCAAAAATTAAATCTTTAAGGCCCTACTTTCAAGCACTGTTCTGTCCACTCTTATTTTTAATGTTTATTTATTTGAGAGAGAGAGAGAGGGGGCACACACAAGCAGGGAAGGGCAGAGAGATGGGGGAACAGGATCTGAAGCAGGTTCTGTGCTGACAGCAGAGAGCCCGATGTGGGGTTCAAACTCACAGATTGTGAGATGGACATGAGCCGAAGTCGTTTGCTTTTTTTTTTAATAGTTTTTAAAAATTTTTTTTTTTCTTCAACGTTTTTATTTATTTTTGGGACAGAGAGAGACAGAGCATGAACGGGGGAGGGGCAGAGAGAGAGGGAGACACAGAATCGGAAACAGGCTCCAGGCTCTGAGCCATCAGCCCAGAGCCTGACGCGGGGCTCGAACTCACGGACCGCGAGATCGTGACCTGGCTGAAGTCGGACGCTTAACCGAC